GTCTTTCAATTTAGGGGCGTAATATGGGGATTTAGTGCTTCTCTATTTGACTATACGATCTTTTTTAAGAAAACAGAACCTAAGAGCTTTTTCCATCCAACATGATATGACATACGAGGGCTGTTCAAAAAGTTCGTGGACTGCGGCTCTACCGTTCACATCTTTTAATTTGCGTATATGATTTTACAAGAGACATATATGAAAATATGTCCTTAATAAACAGTGAAAAAATCAATACAATATGTTTACAAATAAAAATTCTGTGACAGTAACAAATCACAAGGGGTGCACAATCCGGCGCACGCTGATGATGAAACAAAATGACGTTCGTGACGTCGCAATACAAATGAAACATTTTGCCAGCGTCATTGTTTCTGAAAGTACTCTTTTTAGTGTTCAATATCTGCGGATCATATACCAAAACCATTTCTCTGTTTGCGATGATGACCCGAGATATAAAGTGGTCATCTATTCGCTCCATTCTCCGTATAAAGGTCCGAGTGCCGCATACTTTCCGCTCTTTATTGGGATTTATTAGTAATTTCGACACTAAACGGACAGTGTTATTAAGTTAATTCAATTGTTGATTGATAGTATCAATTTGAAACCGCCCTCGTCCGATCTTTATACAATATATTTTATCAACTGACAATTATTCTATGCGGTAAATCTACTGAACACCGGCTAGAATTAATTATCAAACTGATAATAATAATAATAACTACAAGTATTTATTGTAAATACGCATATATCCTGATGAATGAAATAAAAATACTATTTTAATTAAAATAAATTGTTTTGTCAGAATTGAATGCATACACCCGATGCAGAAATTAAACATGTCTGACATCTCGCAAAACTGTCATAATGCCTGAACTTCTGTAGATCTTTTGCAATTGACGTTACAAACGTCCCAACAATAAGCCGCTAAAATTATCCGTCGCTCTTTCTGTCTGTGAGCATGTATTTGCCGTATTTGAATCGCTTGCGCGACCTGCAACCAAGAGACTTGCTCGACAACTCATTGTTTTTCGTTAATTTAATCACCTTATAAAAATATAAAGGAGTATACCACATTTATTGGTAAAAATTTCCGAAAGAGCGAATTTCTAGTTTTTAAACGGGGTTTATACTTCCCAACTTACCCGTCTGTCTACTACTGCTCAAAACCTGTTTGTTCAGCTATTCAACGTCCAAACGACGCCAAAAGTCAGATTTATTTCATTTAAATATTAATAGATGATTACTTGTATTTAACTTCATAAAACAATCATTTAGTTTGTTTCAACATTTTTTTATATTTAAACATTATATGAAAATTTCGGCGTGCGCCGATGTTGCGTTGCCATGGTTATTAAAGTGCACATAACTCGTAAACTAAAAAAAGTTAACAATAAAAGTAAATCTTACATTTGAAAATAAAGACACTCTTTCGATTCATATCCACTAAGGGTGTTTTTATGAACCAAGTAAAAAATGACAGCAAATATCCACGAACTTTTTGAACATACCTCGTATACATCATTTTCTATATATCTGAATTCAAGACCGTCATGTGTCGTATTGTAAAAGCAAACTGATGTTAAGTCAATAGTAACCCGTATAAATTGACAAGTTGAGGAATGAGTTATTCCTTTGACCTTTTGTAAAAGTCAGTATCCTCATCATCGTTATTCAAATAATCAGAGAGTGAACAAATTTCATTTCATGACTGTATAATCCGATAAGAAACCTCGACAATTTGTCTTGATCTACATAGCGATAGAAAAATGTCAGGACAAATAAAGACATACAATAATCGTGAATGTATGAAAAGTATAGTATGCAAAATAATACTAAATTACTATAGAAAGACAAGTACACGTTAGGGACGTTATTTTAATTATAGTGTATTGTGTTGCTTGTTGATTTTGTTATAAAACTGTCCTTGCGTCATTCAAACTGTATAATTCTAACACTCTTCGAGATTTTTTTCACTAATAAAAGACAAAGAAGGAAAAAAAGGTGTTAAACTGCTTTTGTCGTTTTGATGCGAAAAAATAACCACTCAGGCCTACGGCCTTCGTTGCCAGTTTCTACACAACAAAACTCCAAACCGGTGTGTTTAATATACGATAAAGACTGCTAAGAATGATATTATTTCTTAAATAAAACTAAGTGCTTGGCTCGATCGTTTGTATTTATGAAGAAAAAAGGCACTTATGCACAACAAGCTTTCTTATACATTCATTCAAAACAAAGAACTTGTGATTTACAACAACAACAACAAAAAACATAGGTATACTTTTGGAACCTAATAAAATATGATTTTTTTGTTTCGATTTTACGTGGCAGCAATACAGAAGAGGTCATAAGACGCCTTTTCAGCTTTATTGGTGGAGGAATACCTCAGATGCCCCTCCGTGCGGTATTTGAAGCACAAACGGACACCTTAGTAGAACCGTCGACGTGCCATTAGGTATCTGAATAGCTTCGTCACATTAAAGAATGCCTTGCCAGTGAGGAGCAATGGTTTGAAGAGAATGACCTTAACCTCTTGGCCACAAATGCCCCAAAATTGATAAATCGTTTCAGTTATAATGCGACGCAGTAATTGGAAAACCTTAATGTTAAACTATAAGACAAAGGGATAATAAGTTAAAAAACAAAACTAAACAAACAAACAAACAGAAACAAAAAAACATAATAGTTACCCGTTATATGAATCACTATAAAATGTTTTATTTTAATCTACAGGAGAAATATAAGAATGGTTATTTTTGTCAAAAGTATAATGATTTATAGCAAAATAATCAACTGAAATAGTTTAACGATATATAGCAAAAGATAGAGTCAAAGATATCCAATTGGATAAAAATGTGATTGTTTTGCAAGACATTTGATTGTAAAAGTAAAATATGAAAGTATTAGCTGTAATACTTCTTCTGTTGCTACAAAGACACAAAATTTTTATAGTACATTGTACCGATTTATCTTAAGGTTATAACGTCTTTATTGTGAAGCCTTTAGGGTGTATTTTCTATTACTAAAATGTTCTCCAATTAAATGTGTTTCTTTCTGGTTCTTGCATTTTCATGTTGTCAGGCTGTGATGGCATTTTGACGTTTAGTAAATGAAAAGCAACATTAATTTTATAGTTTGATTCTGTAATTGTCTGACGAAATTAATGATCTTTTAGGAATTAAATTAAATGGCAAAACTTCTTGATTCCTGTCGTTCCTATTTTTTTTCTGAAACGTCATGAAACCTTATAATTGTTTAGAACATTATAGCATTATTTGCATATGAATTAGGAAAGGAATAGAGCAAGGAAGCAAGGAAGCAAGGAACATTACCTGTAGACATTACCTCATACAAAGACACAGTCATATAAGATGATAATTTACGATTCTACGCATCTTAGACCTCCTTTATAGATTTCCCTATGAACAATGTAATCGATTTATATCAACATTAGATAGTGTTTCGTAAGACAAACATCTTTATTTCAGTTAATGCACGTACGGGGCATACTAATTAAAGCAACTAACGGTTGTATTATTACCAATATTGTCTCAATATAATTCCTTTTCAGATAAAGCTCGTAATCACCAAAATTCTGGGGGTTTATGGATGACGGTTTTGCTTTAAACACGTCAATCTTTTCTTTCAGTCGATCTTAATAAAGATGAGATGAAACAGTTAACAAACGCTTACACAAACCTAATACGTTAAAACAAAATCGAAGGCATGTTTAAGGTGGATGGCTTTTCACGTGTGTTTCACTTGTCGGACTAGTAATCTAAGGATTGATGGCCGCGTGGGTTCAAACCCCGTCATGAGCGAGCCGTTGTTTCCGTGAGCAAGAAACTTTACACTCATCGCTTAGTACTGGTTGGTTCCAGGAACGGATTCGAGAGTGTTTCAATAAGCTTATGGCTTCCAACACAATCGAACTATCGAAATTCGTATATGCTATTTAAATAAATAAAAAGTCAGCTGAATGGTTTTGTAATTGATATAATAACAAATGTTGATGATACAATGCAGTAACAGTATACCAATATAAGCAAACAAAGACTGTTCATAATTAAAGACAGACTTAATTCACTTTGAACTAACGAAATAGTTTTTTTATGAATTTTAACAAAGATACCAAAATTGTTAAGATCTATGGCAACATATGTATTCAAATCCAATAAGTTGTTTCAATGTTTCAGTAGCTAACACACTTATCTTTTTAGGATTAAAACGGTAGGTTACACCCTTTACTTTCAATTGGCGTTTTCCGGTTATTTATTTACATAATATTTTGGATGAATAAAGTAAATGATTATAAAAATATTTGAAAGTAATATCTTTTACAAATGTACGGAAGCGTCCTGTTGCCAAGTCATTATGTTGAACTTCTATAAATTTTACTTCAACATAGAAGATGAAGAACACAACCTAATTAGGATATTATAACTCCTACACAGGTCTTTATAACTCCTACGTAAGAGATTTTTTTCACTTCTTAAACAACAACAACAAAGGAAGAAAGAAAATAAAATTTAATGATATATTTTTATACTCCTATGAGAGAAAAATATAATAATGAGATAATAACTGAAACATACAACTTTATAACAACTACTCTTACGTAGAGGATAAACAAGTTTAGGATATAAAAAAGCTTTATAAGGACTTTTTAGCTCCTACGTATGAGAAAAATAAACCTAGTTTGGAGTTTATAACGATGGAGATATATGGAATTATAAGAACACTTAAGGCCTTTTTATCTTTATCTCTTCCTGGGACTTTTTCTATGTAGGAGTTATTAAGTCCTACAAAGTAGTTACATACTTTTTATAAGGCTTTAAATCATTCCCGTAGGATTTATATTATTTTCAACCATTATGAATCGACACCAAGCCGCTTCCGTACTAAAGATAACAAAAAAAATAGATTTAAACGTTTAAGTCGCTTGAAATAAAGGTCAGGTAGGTTATCAGTAAATCATATATATATCAGACAAAGAATTTGTTCTAGCAAGTTACTGAGCAATATCATTGTAAGCATGAAGTCATACATAGTCATACTGGTGTTAGTGTTGTTTACTGTTCATGTTCAAAGCAAGGGTCTTAAGGAAAAGATTGAAAGTCTAGAAAATATGGTGACAGGTTTAAAAACTGATATTCAACAGTTAAAGACGGAACACCAACGAACAAAACGAGGTAAGTCACTTCTTATGTTACACTGTAATTGTCCTTAGACAATTTCATTGGTTAAAGATAAATGTTTCTTTAAGTACGCACAAAAATTATTTTCTCCACAATTTTGTACTTTCTCGCTGTTCAGACAAGCTTGCTTTCAACATCCTTTTTGCATTATCCATTTTGCTTGTTTTTATATTAAGTTAAACAATGTTTCGCGTTTAAATAAATTTAACTACATTTATAAGAGATAAAAAAGCCATTAAAGACGTTTGAATTACTAAACAAGGTTTTTAGATACATTTCATAATATTTCAGTTTCAGTTTATATTTTTTAACAAATATAATTCCTATTGACTAGAAGCGGTATAAAAGAAATAGCAAATTGATTGATTAATCAACATAAAAGAGAAATACATAATTTCGAAAATATGAAAATAATGAAATAACATTTATATAATTTAATAATTATACTATTTTGAGTTTTGATGTTACAATGTAATGTCTTTAATTATGTAACTATTAAAAACTCAATGTACACAACACCAAATATCATTTCAATCTAAATATAAATACATTAAAAAAGAGACATAATATTTAACATGGTCCATGTAGAGATGTTATATTTCCGGTTCTTAAAGATAGATCAGCGCGACATATTTGTTCTGTTTTTTGTTATAGTTTATTCCATTTTTTCAAATTGTGTGGTTCCATTATTCCTAATGTAATTATGTTTTAATTTAATGATTTATATTTTGACGTGTCTGTCTGTGGTATGCAGGTCTCATACCCCTTTTCAAAATTCGGTTCTTTTTTATTTCGCCAGAATTATTGTTTTACTTTTTATTGTTGGGAACATGCATTTTTACACTGTGTCGTGGAATGACTTTAAAGTGTCACATTAAAGGTTTCATGATTGTCATTGAAAGAACACATCTGCGGATGTTTCTGAATTCAAATTGTCACCATTGCCATGTATAAATGTTGAATACTGTTCAAGACGGTGTTAAGGGGCATTGACGGTTGCTTCCATTTACCTTTACTGTTCATGAACAGACGACAAAATCAGACCGAGCTTAAAACATTTTAAATTTTGCTGTTTTAACGTTATTTATTTTTTCCTATAACATTTTGAGGAAAACAATTTAAATGCTAAGTGAATAACTTTTTTTGTGGTATGGAACGTTGAATGTTAAAGTGTCTTGCATAATGAATGTAAATATGTTATGCATATATGCACTTTATATTTATTTTAGCTGCAAGTGGAAGCACAGTGGCGTTTTCAGCCCATGTGAATTACGACGACAGCTTGACGACTGGACAGGTCATCGTATTCGACACCGTGCAAACGAACATCGGCAACGCATATGATAATGTCCAAGGAAAGTTCACATGTCCTGTAAATGGAGCATATCATTTCACAGTATCAATTCTGTCACACGTCAACCATTTACTAGAAGCATTCATTAAACATGAAGGTACTTCGGTAGCTGGTCTTTATACAATTGGGGCTGGTCCTGGTATCGACGATCAAAGCTCAAACTCTGTCGTGGTTCACTGCATGGCAGGTCAACAGATTTGGGTAGAAAGTCAAAATAATTATCTGATCAACGGGGAACGAGTTGGATTCACACTTTTTACGGGCTTTCTTATTGCTGCTGATGTGGAAACAGAACCTGTTGGGTAGTGCCTGTTGGCCACGTTTTATGACCATTCTTCTAATGTTACTATAATATTATTTGAAACTGACATGTCTCCTTTTTCAAAATGTGAAATGCTTACAAGAAAATTTTTTATTCATACATTGTTTGATTTAAACAATAAACATTTAATTGAATGATGTGTTTTTCCCCTCTGTGTGTGTATGCGCGCATGCGCGTGTGTGTGTTCGTGTGCATGTGTGTTTTAAAAAATGTAGCATTAAAACATTCTTACAACTTAATGCTAACTTGTTACAAACTATTCACAGAGTGTTATATATACTATCGTATCTTCCTCCGAAATATAAGAGCATTACAATTCTCAAAGATAGATACTTCATGTATAGAGTTCATTATAAGAATTTTCAAACATTTTTAGCGAGATCGTATTTTAAAACTATTATAGTCTGTTCTCAAACAAATATGTAACTTGCTATTAAAGTTAAATTACCCGCGATAGAATGTAACTTGTTGCGGAAACCTTTGATAATATATAAAACATTGTTTTACACCGATTCTCTATCCCTTTGATTAGATCAGCGGGATTTTGGAACAATGTAAGATATGAAACTCTGGTACCCACGTCAGTATTCCTTAAAGTTATAAATTCAACAGATTCAAGAGGCATTAATTTCTTTGGGTTTCTTTGTATTAGACGGACAATTAGAATTTCGAATTCATTGTCATCTCCAGTCGGTAACGGACTCATTTGTTATGTCAAGAATGACTTTTTTGCAACATCATTGATCTCAGTTACATAAACATAAATTATAATATATAAAATAACGGTTAAACAAATGATAATATCATTAAATTCGCATACAAATAATAAAAGAAATTAATACATACATAAGTTAGAACATAGGTCAAGGTAACAGAAAAAACAAGAAAAAAAAAACAACTACAAAGGTAAGAGTATGACTACAACAAGCCAGAAACTTTATATCTAAGATCACAGAAATCTGTCTAGAACTACTGGCATTTTATATTGTTGTCAATAAAGTAACAAGGTGTATAGTTATTATAAAGGATGATAAGAAGGATCGGTATTTATACAGTCAGGTAAAAAACCCAAAAAACAATACAATGATTTTGTTTAAAGTGATCTATGTTTACAAGGATAGCACATTAAGCTAGAAAGCATATTTCAAATGGGGTCTGATAAATGGAACAAGATAAAACCAGACAGACTTTTATTTTTTATAAGAAACAATAGATCACAAAATGATCTAACTGACAGATAGGTTAAGCATTTCTGAATATCGGTTTATTACATAACAGTGTTTGTAAATGAACATGCAAAATATTTCGACAGCATGCTTTATTCCTGAATATATATATTGGCTAAAAGCAAACGAAGCTAGCATATTGAAATCATGCCGAAATGCCTGCCTTGCTTGCTTACAACGATTAAAGCAACATGCTAATTATCATGAAAACTGTGAGACTGCATAAAAAGGTAAAGTTTTGTGATCTGAACAAAGAAAGTAATTTGCACGTTGCAAAAGAGCTTGTTCAATCCACATCAATGACCAAAATTATGTAAAATTATGCATAGATAGTCCTTACTGCGTTAGTCACTGAGAAAAAATATGATGATAAAAATTGCAAAGTCATAAATAGAGAAAAACAGAATCCCTAAAGAAAGCTCAACACGTAAAAATTGTTTGATTGAGCCTGTTCATAAACCGCACATAACATGTAAATTATTACTTGAGTCTTGAACATGTGTGATTTTCTTAAAAGTTCAATTTTCTTAAGTCTGATTGTTTTAAAATTTGGGTTCATCTGGAGGCATACAGCTTGTACCTGATTTTAATCATGTTGGCCACAAACGGTTGCCCTTTATTCAATACAAGGAAGACAACGTCAAAAGATAAATAAAGTTAAATTTACATTATCCAAAAACTTGACATCCGAATGAAATTTAAAACTCTTATTTCGTTATTTGTAAAAAGCGATGTATTTTTGGAAACAGTGCTTTTTGTTAATTCAGCTGATAAGTTGCCTTTAAGGGTTTGGACATTGCAATTGCAGCCACCGTTTATTGCAGCCACCGTAAAACCAAACCAAAAGCATTATGCATAATATAGTTATTGTTCTGTGAAATGTTATGCATTGTAGTCTATAGTTATGTGGTTGATGTAGTCTATAGTTATGTGGTTGTTGCATTTGTCGAGTGCAATCTTAAGATTCTTTTTAAATGTTCATATTTTAACACGACGACACAAATGTGTAATCGAAAGCTACAAACTGTATAAAAATATGAAGAAAAAAAACAAGATCAACAAGACAGAACGGCGATAAATGAACGCAACCCCACACGCACGATCCAGCAACATAGGAACACCGGCACGGATCCCAGCAGATCACCAAACAATAACATGACAGTCAAAGCAAGAACAAACGAGGTGATAACTTTAAAAAACATAATAATACAAAATACGCAATAGGACTCAGTATGTGATAAAATATTAAAGAACATTATGTAAATATGATATATAGCAATGGGGCAAATTATGAAATTATACAGATCATATTATGTAAATATGATATACAGCAATAGCACTCAGTATTTAATTCTGAAGAGCAATTCATATTTAATTTAAAGTTTGTCCGGATTCTAAAAAAATAAATCTTAATATTACAAGTTTCATAATATCAAGGCTATCCATCACTAGTGATTTGTACGGAATGACAAAAAGAAGGGTCAAAGTTCTTTTCATAATTATATTAATACATTTTTCTCTCTTACTCGTCCGTTTGTCACCATAATGTCAGCCTTGCTACATCATGTACATGTATCAATTATTTTGCCTTGAACAGTATTTCAAGTTGCCTAAGTAGGCTTTTGATCCAGGAACTAAGGATGGGTTACCGTAATGGGATACCGTTATAGAAAACCCAGCGAGTTGAAGACAGTGATGCCGGACCATTTTCATTCACCTTAAAGGCCACTTCATCATATTATAACGTCATAATTACATTAAAGCGGGGCAAACCTTGATCATCATCAACAGTTTCTTGGTTATTGTCATCAATATAAATTCAAAATCCAGAGCAAGTATGTAAGGAATTCAGTTAAAATTATTTGATTAATGCAATTCTATTTTTTTTTTATTCGATTTATCTTTGTGTACTTTGTGTACACGTCAAACAAAAAAACCATCAGCCTTATCATGATTTTATAGTATTTAAATATGAATTATAAAAACGAATGATATGAGTTTATTCTACGATATTGTGACCGTTAATTATCTAAATTGTACAACTCATCGAAGGATAATGCTGTAATCAATGTAATAGTTTAGGCCTAAAAATATTATGTGTTTTTTTTTCTTCCTCTTTCTAGCCACCGAAATCACTGGCACCAAAATGTAAAAAGATGAAACGAATCGTTTTCATATTGTTCCTACAATCAATGCAACGGCATTAAAATATGATAAACAAGATCAATAAGGAAAAGCGGCGTTCAATGAACGTAACCCCCATACGACCAAGTGGCAAAAAGCCCAGGCGGAAAACGACAAAAGTGATAATATTGCAGGCCCGGTTTCATTGAGCCTGTTCTTAAACGGTACTGAAAAATTAATATTACCGTCCACGCCCGCTAGCACCGGCCTAAGCAGAATTGAACATTTGAACATGAAAATTTTGAATTTACAAACATCCGCAACGTTTTCAAACCGAGATTGGTCGCGGGAGGAAAAACGGCGTTATTTTAATGGCTGGCATAATGCAAGTAAACCCATAGTAATAAGATAATCTTACAGCTTTAAAATCATTAATATTTTCCCAATTTAACCTTTCCTTAATTATTTCCTAATTGCGGAAGTTCAAAACGTTAACAAAGTTTGGGCATGTTCAAAATTGGTAGTGTAGGGTTACATTTTATACATATATCATTGTATTTGAGTAGAAACGATCATTTTCCTTGTGAGCTGAATGTTATTATTTGTTTCTGAGCAATCATTAATGGGAAAACATTTTTCATAAGGATGATGTTATAGATTTAAAGGTTCCTCATTTTTGAAAAAAGGGCTCTTCTAACATTCAAGCTTAAGTTCAGAAAAGTGGCAAAAACTCGTTTACCGTACGGTAAAGTTTGTTTAAATTTTGCATACAGGTGTCCTTTCAGGCATACATCTGACCTTGTTTTCAATTGTTTAGTTCGTTAGTGTGCCCGTTAGGGTGGTCAAACCTTAATAACTTGTATGATGAGATAATACATTATTGCATTGTAATTTCTATAAGAAACGGAAATAAACGGTAACAGTTTTAACCAAACTTTAACTATTGTGTATTCATACAAACTGTTTCTATTTTTTCACAAAAAGGAAACATAATGATAAAAAATGTGCCATTAAATCACATTTACGTCAGCTGAAAGAATAATTTGTCAATAACATTTCCTACAGTAATTGGTAAAATGCCAGTCGGAATCAATTATTTTGACGACTTTGAGGACAGAACAAAAAGATGATTATTTATTTTTTAAATTAATTTATTCTTTTTTGTGAATGTTTAATGACACATGTCAAGTTTGGTAGGATTAAAGAAACGATTGATAACATTAATATTCCATCAGAATAATATAAACAAGCATATGTTTTGTTGGGAATGCACAATTTCACTCTACATAATGAATACTTGCACAATTTGTATTTTTTATTTGAATGCTTTTTTAGTTGAAACCTATTTCTTTTCTAATGTACATTTCTATGGAATAATACTTACATTAATACAAAATAAATATTTGTTATTTTATTCATATTTTTAATAAGGTTTTCAACGAAAATTGGTTAATGTAATGAATAACATGACAAATGCAGACACGGTTTGATTGGGTCTGTTAATGAGGAAGACTGGAAAAGTCCAACATCCAACACGCCCCTTAACACCGGCTTAAACGGTATCCAACCTACCAATGAGTTGGTACAATATAGTTCGACAGTGTGTTGCTTTTAATAAGACTTCATTTTTTTGTTATTAGCATTTTTTATTCTGCTGTGGTAAGTTATCATTTCAAGTTTTATCATCGCATGTATTTACATTCAAAATACATATCAAATCCCTATATCACCCATATACAATGTAGTCCCATTTTCATTTTAAAAATGCAAATGCGTATG